CTGGTTCGATAGAGATATTTGCAGATTAATAAAAAACTTAGCTTGAATCATTAAATGGAATTGTGTTCTAAAAGTAATCTCAAGCTTCATTTTTTTTTTTTTAATTTAATGATACGGAATACTCCATTCGTCTCATTTACATAGGCTGACTTTTCTTACTTTCCTGTCCCAATTATATAGTCACGTTTCTTTATTGAGAATGTTTTGTTTTTTTCGTTTACTAATATACCCTTATTTAATTTATATAATTATAATCAATTTACTACTAGTTCTTGATAATTACATAAGGGTAAATTAAGAAAGTTTTTGACAAAAAATTATTTTTTACAATAACATTAAGTAATATTTATTAATCCGTGTGAATAACAAAATCAACATATATAAATGAGATAGATGAAATATTCATCTAGAGTATCTAAGTGAACGCTTTGAAAAAGTCAAAAGTATATGCAAACTCAAAATGAACCAAAAATGCTCTTGAATGAGAATCTCATAAGCGATCTAAAATGTATAATGGGAGCCAATATACTCGAACAAAAATGTAATGATTAAATTGGTGAATGAAATGTGAACAGATAACATGATTAGTTATAAGTCAACCAATCAATGACCAGAATAGAAATCTATAAATAGGCGTACCAGAATGAAGAATGTTACACTGAATTTGAATAGCTTCCTTCCAAATAGTCATTTTTCGTTTTTGCTCCCTACTGTTCAACAAAATAATGAGTTTGGGAGGAAAAAATCGTGATTAAGTGCGAGGAATATGTTGATTGTTATTTAAAAATTAAAAGATTTATTATTAATAGATGACAATCAAGCACTGCTTAGCACTAATAAAACTAGACATCGTTGCTTAATAAATCATTCTCATGCTTGATTTCCTAACTGCAAATTTCTTGAATCCGTACATACAAAATGGTTTCAATGTCGCTCTCATGGTAATTTGTCCACAGTCAAACAAAACAGTTTATCACTTATTACATGTGTTCCTTTATTAAAGGTTATAAAATCTTGGAATCAAAGAAAACCCAATATCAAACAAAAACACTTTATTCTTTTTTAAAGCAAAAATACTCACCCGTTTGATTTGATAGGCTATAAGGGGGTTTTCTCTCTTAGGTATTTGCTTTTATCTAATTTGTCTAAAATTGAACCATTTCACATCGAGTTTGAGTAGGTGACAATGGATCGAACTAAGTGGGTTCGGTCTTTAGAAATTGAGCTCGACTCGTGTCCATGATTTAGGTTCCTTTTGTTCCTATGGCTCGTGGATCTTCTGGACTGGATCGATTCGAGTCATCCATGAGCTTACAAATCGACTCTTTTTTTTGAAATAAATAAATAAATAAAAAAAGTCGAAAAAAGGAGTCAACTTGTGAAAAAAATGTATCCGGTTCAGCTCTTTTGTCACTCCTAAGTTTGGGCGAAGATTTGGATTGCTATTACTATAGTCCCTTTTTATGCTTTTTTTGTAAAATTTCAGTGCTTGTCTACTCAAAAAATATTTATTTATTTTCAACTATACAATTTAAGATATTTGCGAAGATCAGAATGCATTTTAGATTAACACAAGAAAGAAGATGAGCGTGTTAAGATTTTCCTACAATCCATCCTCTTTTATTAACCTTTTTTTGGTTTATGGCAATATTTTTAATACATTTTTTTAAAACATTGGTTGTTCTATGATTCTTTCTTTGTTCGTAAATAAATGTCAAATCAATTAAATTCAGACTTGGGCAAATTTTAATTTTCTATTTTTGGCGTTCTTATTAAGTCATTAATTTAAACAAGAATGTTCTAATATCATTTCTATCAACTCGAGTCTTCTCATGGTCACTGAGTTGAGTATTCGATCGTAAACTTCAGGGTCCCATGGAATTAGTCAGGTGCGCGCAAGTTGGTTCGGACATCCGCGATTATTAAAAAA